CCTCAGGTGCCGCTGGCAACCTCGTCGAAATTGGTACGGCCGTGGCGGGGGCCAGTGGAGGTCGTGCAGGTTTTGCGGCCGCAATGTGTTCGCGTCAAATGGGGGAGGCGCCGGTGGTATGTGCACCCCTCAAGGTTAAAACCATTTGTCGCGCCGCCCCGTGGTTCACACACACACACGCATGGCCAAACGTGTGAGGGTGTCGCCGACTCCCCGTCGTCGCTGCACTCGCCTAACCTGACGCCAACTGTTCCGTCCCCAGGTGAAACAGGAGTGACGGGTCCACACCCACCAACCCCTCCCGGAGGGGTCGGGGGTCACTCGGCAGCGACGCCTGACTCTCTTGCACCCGGACCGTCAACAACCGTCACTGAGCGTGCCAGGACGGGCCCTTGTGACGGGCCCGCCGCGCGGACGCGCGCCAAAACGCGCAGACTATTGTGAGGTCGGCCGTTGGGGGGCCTTGCGGACAATGGGAGGGGTGGCGTCCGGAGTGTGTGTATATATGTTGGTTTTGGGGTATTTATTCGGGGGGGGTGCGTCGGGTTATTTTTTTTCCTCTCTCTCTCTCTCTCTTCCTGTTGTTGTTCTTGTTAAGGTTCTCTTGTTCTTGTTAAAAATTACGCGAGGCACACACACGGGGTTTTTGTGAGGGATGCACCTTTATTCTGATTTTTTTTTTTTGCAGCCAGGGACGGCTGCGAGCTGTACAGGGGGGGTGATGTAGAGGTGTAATTGCGCATGGCTACGAATGTTGAGGTGTGATTATGCATGGCCACGGATGGCCAACAAACACAAGGGGCGGGGTTACGGCCGTACACAAGGGTGGCGCTAGCACCGACGTCCGCATGTGTATCCCCCACGGGCCCCCCCCTCGGGGGCGAGTCCTATAAAAGGTGATGAGCTCGAGGGCTCGAGGTCGGGACTCAGCTTTAACCAGAGAAGACGGAAGACCAGCTAGTGTAGGCCCCAGAGCTCCCCTGGCTCGCTGTCCTTATAAGGGCCGACCAGGGCAAGCCTGTGGCGTGGCCCCGAGAGCCCAGACGAAGCTGGTCTGGTGACTCAGGGAGCCGGGATCCCAGCTTAACCAAGCTGGGACAGATAGCCTCCCCTAGTCCCGTAGTGGAGGAATTGGTATAGGTTAGAGGGGTTAGCTGTCGAGAATCCCTGTAGCCAAGTGACCTGTACAACTGTGTTGGTGTAATAAATAAGTGTGCCTCCGATCCTGTCGTCAAGCCTCCATATATACTTACTACACCAGCAAAACGTCGTACTTATATCGTAAACGTTGTGGATTTACTCTCCAACACATCGGTGGGCTGAAGTAGCAACTAATTGTCACGTTTTATTTTCGTGACAAACCTTACTGGTTGGCTGTGTCGGGTGGTGGCGGGTTAACGACACATTTATACTAACGCCATCTAACCCAAAAACAACCTTTATTATAATATCGGTCGCGAAAGCCTACGTGTCAAATTTACACCAGTTAAATGCGGTTTCACCTTAATTTGTTCTAAGTGCCATCCAAGGGACAGCGCGATAGCCCTCGAATGCGAAAGGTGTGATCTTTCTCCTATCTGCTGCCTCAATTGTCCCCCGAGAAAGAAAAAAATGCGCGCACAGCACAAAAACACACGATGCAGTGCAGATGATTGATGTTCGAACACCCACATACATAAACCATAAATGCTTCCTGTTTCACGGACATCCATCTTGAAGTCAATTGTGACGGGACTATAACACTTAATCCCTGGCATTAGTAACTGGTTATGCATCCGCCCCACTGACACTTAGTGCATGCATTTTTCATGACACGCGATTGCTGTGCACGTACGGCAAGCGTCATCCCACCATGTGGCATCGCGGAGGCAACAATCGCAGGCTGATCGACAAGCGCGTGCGTGTACGCACGCGAATGCGCGGACGGGAAACACTTCCTTCGGAAAACGGAGAAAAAGGAAGTCTTCGAGATGGAGACATCCTCTTGCGTTAGAATTAACGCGAGACAAAAACGATAGATACTGATCGATGCATAAAACTACAACGATGTAAGATGGAAAAGGATCATCAATTTTGCCAATTTTGTCGGCACAGAAAAGCGACGAACGGCAAATCGATTCTAACTCTCAAAGTTTGGTTTTCCACGTTGGTCTGCGTGTTGAGAAATTCTTCCTTCAAGCTTTTGACAACGCACCATGGCACGTGGCATGTTCAGGAACTCAAGTCAAAAGGAGTTGAATAACAACTCCTGAATTCAATCGAGAGAGATAAATATTTAAAACATGCAACACCAACTCGGAAAGCCGTATGTGGATTGCAGGCAACTGCGAAAAGTAAATTGTGACATTCTAATTTTCTGGGCAGTGGCACGGCCCAGCGATAGCGCATTCGCCACTTGTTGCAGATGGTTCGTGGTTCAAAACCAGCGGCCGCCCTGGTTATTAGCACAAGTGAAATTAACGGTGATAATACTCCGTGCTGTCTGCTTCAGAGTGGACGTTAAAGATCTCCTCGACGTCATTTACAAGAGTGTATTGTGTACCAGCATCAGAGTCCAAATGTGCCAAATTCGAAAATTGTCCTGCAAATTACTCAATTGTGATTATACACAGCAGCAATCATCACTCCTACTGGGAGACTAATGCCCCAGGTTACCCTTGCAAATGAGATTCATCCTGGTTAAACAAAATAAACTTTCTCAAAATGATAGGAAACTCGTCAGATGGAAAAGAGCATGTGGCTGAAAACCTACAACAGCAATGCACTCATAAGGTGATTTCTAGACGGCAAAATGTGGTTTTATGACCATCTGTTCGGTCGTCCCATCATGCCTTGCATGCAGTGAAATCGCCACCCTGCGTGGATAAAGCACACAGCCTTGTTTCAGACCACAAACTCAAAAGAGTCAAAGATGTGGCCAAATTATTTTAGAAAGCAAGCAGAAGGATGAAACAACACTATTACATACCAGATTCATCCTATTTACGAATCACCAGTGAATTATAGCCACCGGTGCCTACTTCTGCCTTGTATCTCAGGTGCGTTATGTGGAGAAGCCTTCTTCCATGAATGGGGACAGTTTGCTAGAGTTATAGCCTCAGAGCGAACCTGTCGATATGTCACCACGAAGATGTATAGGATAATGTATGTGTGCTGAACTCCTTTCGCATCGTACGTAGCCAACCGTGCTGATCAGATGTGCGGGGGGAGGACAACAAATTAAACACAAAAAGCAGTTTTAAAGAAATGAGTTTTCAATTGAGATTTAATAGTGCATAGATCGAGTGGCTTCTTAATATTAGAAGGAAGAGCGTTCCAGACGGCCATAGAAAAGCATCCCAAAAGCGCGGATGCAGTGACCGTCTTTGTTCGATGGCTCACCAAAAGCAACTGGGAGGATGACCAGAGTACACGTGGTGGTTTATATTCCTTGACGAGATCAGCAAGGTATTGTGGTTCATTTGTGGCAAGCACTTTGTATGTAATTATAATAATTTAACCAGTTAGCCAGATGAACACAGTTAAACGCCCAACCCTGTAAGACATTGAACTTATGGATGACGAAACTGAATACTGCACATGAAGGGCAGATCACAAAAACCGGATGATTCTGGGCTGGAGTTCACAGGCAAGTCGTCTAATCCCCATACGCAAGGCTTTAATAATCCATGTAGGCAATGGATCAACGGTGAAGTGTCAAAGAAGAAAATTACTTTTTTGGGAAACAAAAATGAGAATTCTGACTTACATAACACTATATTATGAACAATAAGCCATGCGGCTGACTTCATACATGAACGTGTTGTTTTGTATATTTATTATAGGGACAGCCTCCAATACAATCTCATTACAAAAAAAAGTAACTTTTCCATTAAAATGAAGAAATTGCTTTAACTTTAGGAAACCAATTTCTTGCTACACATGGTGTAACTGGTCTGGAAATATTAGCCATAGCACCCAGAAAGGGCCCACACATACAATAACAAAAAACCTCAACACCATCGTCAATAACGTTCCGGCCTTCAAATGAAAAATATATAATAGGCGCCATTTCGGTAAATGAGCTTTCTTCAACGCGCATGACAACGCGCAAGACCACATAGTGCTACCGACGAATGCGTTGAGCTTTTTGTTAATTCTGCCCGAGCTATACTGCCAACGCACCCACCCGCTGCTCCACATTGGCTTTGATCTGCAAAGAAAGAAACTGGTGGCTCCATCGACCGCTCCTGAACAGCGACCGATGGTTGCGCACACCTCTTAAACAAGTGGGATATTAAAGACGACCCAAAGTGGGAACGCGGCCACCCAAACAACAACACAATGGAGGACTGCATTCTACGTCCGCTCTCTGGTGGACTGGAGAGTATTCGTAGTGTGCTGCTCCCGAAGCAATTGCGTGGCTCACAATAATTACGGTAAATCTGGACGTAATAATTTACGCGTAAATAGTCACACGCTCGACGAAGTAGCAGAAGAATGCAGCATCGGCCACATAATTTCATGGCAAACAAATGAGTAAGTAAGATGACAAACACCAGCGTGACGCAATGTTCCACCTTGGCTCTACAATTTGTCAACATCACGGGTAGGGGACCTCTCCTTCCTGAGGGCCAGTTACCTTTGGCAGGGTAAATATTAACACCCGTACCCTTGTGTAAACCAATAATAACAACAACGAAACATAACATCCGTGTTGACAAAGTACACAGAGGCCCTTGAAGTGACACATGTGACGGGAGCCGCGCTAAATTTAGAAACAGTTTTGCTCCCAAGGTTATAAAATATTCCCCTCCAGTGCCCAAGTTCGTGTGGCTAAGATGCATACAACGATGGGAAAATGTCATTTTACGGCCATTTTTTTAAGTGCTAACCCTTATGTGGCCGCAGGACCCATACGAAACAAAGTCACAGGCCGGATATGACCCGCGGCTACATTTTGCGCGGCCCACAAGCCGAAGGTGACATTGCTCCTGAGTCCACGCAAGAGTATATCACACCTGGGCTCGTGTGACCTCCTCCAGCCAGGTGACCCGCATCAAGTTTCGGTGGCCGCAAAATAATCGGCCCCCACCACTGACCGGCTCAGGATCAGGGCCTCTCTCTCCTCTTCTTCTCCTGCTGCTGCTGCAAGTTGAAGCACACGCATCAGAGAGCGACAGACACAAATTCCCCTTCTCCCCAGACACATCCCGAGCCATGCCAGCTCGGGGGCCCCCTCAAAAGTACGAGTGGCTTTTTTTTCCCATTGGAAAATTTGCCAAGCCGGGCCAGAACCAAACTGTAAAACTGTGCCCCCACAAGACATCTGAATCTGGCTACGCAGGGCAAGAGTACAGGGCTAATAATTTTCCTAATACACATCTACAAGCCACTTGATTTGCTCATTGCGTGTGTTGTCAGTGGCACGGCTTGGGTTCTGCAGTGGAAAAACAACCTGGCGTGTCTCCCGTGCCATGCCAGGCTGGTTTGGCACAACAACGGCACGACTCAGTTATAGAATGTAATAAAGGTAACAGCATCAACACTGGCAACCCTTAACAGAATATTTATGAAGCAAAAGCAAGTGTTATTAATTCACACAAATAGATTTTTTAATTATAGTAATTATAGTTTTTGTTTTTTGCATTTTGACTGCTTGTGTTGTGGTTATTGCAAACTTGATCCCTTGTATAAAGGTGTCAGTTTTGTACCAGATAAAAGGGTAAAAACCTATTACTATATTTTGCTACTGGGAAAGGAGGTCTCAGTGTAGATTTTTTAATTACCAAGAGTTATCTTCACAAAGTTTAGAATCTTCATCACCGTCAAATGTGTCATAAATAATCCGATACAGTACAGTATTTTTGGTGACGTTAGTGGTTGACGCACTTTTCGCTGAAACCGGCAAGCCCAGTTTGATTCCCAGCCACTGCGAACATCGGTGGCAAGTCACATTTTAATCAAGTCCTGCCCCCCCCCCCCTCTCCAACAACAACCGGCATTCGCCACATAGTGGCACTTTAAAGGCCACGTCAAGTGTCGAAGGCCCACCACGTGAAGTGTGTTGACCAACACACACTGACCAGCGTAGTGAAGTATGGTCAAGCAACCCACCCACCCGCCCCCCCCCAAGACCAACACGTGTGTGGGGGACTTTCACTCGGCAGTGGATTGACAAAGGGCTTTGAATTACCATCATCGTCATATTCATGAAGGTAAATTATTACATTGCTATCATCTGTGCCGGCGTAATCAATCACCATCAAATGAACCTTATGGCGGGACCCCGGGGTCCCGAATAAAACAGAAGGCAAAATCGTAATTTATTTATTTTTGGCGACTCCGTCCCACCGCGCACATGAAGACCGTGACCCACCTGGCACGGATCATTCTGTTATCACGTTGTGTTCAAGCACAGCAGCGAGGAAGAATGCGTAGAAGAGTTGAACAAGCGAATGCACTCCATGCTCGGGTATGGGCAAGATCACAAATCTTATCCAAAGCTGCTCAAACTGCCTACACGAACTAAGTCTTTTATTTATCACAACGGTATTCATAATTCAGTGAAACTGCTCTTATCTTCATTATTATTTGTGACCTACCAATGTCTGCAGCCAGGATCAATCGATGACAATCCTATTACCTGCAGATATTTAACAGATGAGATGCGTTGCACCGTTAATTCCTCCTGTTTGATAATTAACACTTCTCTTGTCCGGATGCATCTGTGCAGATAGGTTTTTTTTGCGGTTAAGCCACAGTCCCCACATACCGCTCGTATCAGTGCAGATAAGAGGAGCGGCGACCCACTACTCTGTAGAGTAACATTGGTATAAACGCTTGTTACAATATGAACAGCACATTGAAAACGCGTACCATTTTTGTACTGTTTACAAAGTGTGTTCACAAATCCACACTGAGAAACACGATGATTGACAGAGGGGTGTAAATATTTTTTTCGATATTGTATTTAAATAGAGGTACTGCAGGTAAGTAGTTTTCAGTTTTAAAGGCATAGTTTAACAAGACAACACTTAAAGTTTGAATTAAAGCTGTCGTGGTTTTCACACCTGGTGATGATTGCTTGTGTTGCAATCGAAACGTCGTGAGAATTGTATTTTTTATATTTTTTATTATTTTATTATTTCCCTTCTACGTGACTTTACCGAAAGAATATAGGACAACACTTGCCACCATCCTTCAAACTCATTGGTGAAAAAAGCTACGTTTTTGTTTACATTATAATGTCATGTTTATGCGAGAGCCGGGGGCTTATGGGACCCCGGGGTTCCACCATAAAGTTCAAATGTCAATTGGGCACCCAGGCACAGTGAGACAAAGTTGTTTTTGAACAGAAGTGTTCCGGAATTATTTTAAGATTTTGAAAATCTGTAGTCGTATATACTGCGAAGGCTTGCCGTGCAGTGTTGAATAAGGAATGGCATGCAGGTGTCAATATACTGCGACAAATTAAAAACAGCTCTGCACTTACACGTTGCACCACACACAGAATTAGCATCAGCACAGCAACGTAAGATGATAAATGGTGAATTCATAGCCCTGATGCGACACGCACACACACAAGGCACACACACACAGCCTTAAGACAGTATACTCACCACATCAACACAAATACACACAGCCAACACAATACACATAATATAGAGCACACACACAGCGTACACACACAACATAAAAACACAATGCACCTTGCATAGAGCACACAACACACATCACACACAACACACACATCACACACACACACGTCTTCACACAAACTTTATACGATAAATCAACCACCACCATTCGCCCATGTGACGTCACCACAGTGCCTGTGCCAGGCTAGGTGTACACAGAATACGTGACGTCTTTGTTGTTGTTGTAGTTTCATTGATGGTTTGGGGGGGGGGGGTGCCAGCAGCTTGCGCCTATCTTAGAGCCTCCCTTGGCCACTGTGGCAGCTGAAAGTAACATTAGACACACTGTACGGCATGCAATTATATCCACGTGGAGTGTACAACGTACACTCACAATACACAACACTAAGGTTCCACGCGATACACACAGCACGGCACACACAATACACACACATTAGACACGTAATATACACACACAGCAAACACAGTACACACACACAGTACACACACACAAAATACACAACCAGTAGAGAGCACACACAGTAGACACACACAGTACACACACACACACAGTACACACACACAGTACACACACACAGTACACACACACACAGTACACACACAAAATACACAACCAGTAGAGAGCACACACAGTACACACACACAGTACACACACACACAACACACACAACCAGTAGAGAGCACACACGCCGCACATACACAACAAGATAACACATAAGCAGTTAACACACAAACGTTAAACAAACAGTGCACACACATTACACAGTTCACACACACACAGACACAGAGAGAGACACTCACAAACACAGCTGACCACCACTTAGCGCTGGGTCCAAGCAGCTGAGCGATGCAAACCGAGGACAACCACGTGGTCCAGGTTCGACTCTGGGTCCACGGGGGAATCAATGACACAGACCCCCCAAGAATCCGCGTGGAACCAACAACCCACAAGCCCAAAATCCTCCTGACAGAGTATTCTAACACGTGCCCCTACAGCAAAGACCCCCGCCCCCCCCCCCCGTGAGACGTGGACCCCACAAGCCACGGACCCCCGTTAGAACTCGTGACATCCCATCACAAGAACCCGAAAAACCCCTGCGCCAAAGGCCCTTTCAAGGAGCTCCCGCCAACACTCCAATCTCAAATTCCCATGGTCCAGAGGGGGGGGGGGGAAAAAACCCCAAAAACGTTGCAGAAGACCCCCAGATCCAGGACCCTAAGATGCCTCAAGAGGCCCGGAGGACGTCAAGAGGGTCAAGAGAGAAGAGCCCGGGTCGCCGAGGTTCAAGGCCACTCACTGGCAGGACCCCCATGGCCGATGACAGGGCCCGTGTGTGTGGTGGTGGTGGTAGTGGTGGTGACTGCATCAGCGCCGTGTAAAGCTCCCCCACTTAACACCAACAGCACCAGCACCACCAGCACCACCAAATAACCACCACGATTCATCCTCAGCATTGGAGACGATGTGAACGGCCGAGCCGCGGTGCCACACAGACGAGGGGAACACGTACCTCCTCACCTCTCCTCCTCACCACAAACCTCCTCCTCCTCCTCACCACCACCACCACCAAACCTCCTCCAGTCGCCGGGAGCAGCAGGGGGGGGGGGGGTAAGCACGGGGGAGGCGCAGTGCGGTGCCCGAGCCCCGCCCACCAATAATTAGGCCCCGCCCATTGTCTCCGAAGGCCCCACCCACATCCCATTGAAAGCTACGCCCCCTTCAGCACTGAAGCCCCGCCCATTTCAATATTAAGCCCCGCCCTATTCAATGTGTAAGCCCCGCCCCTTCAGGATTGAAGCCCCGCCCCCCTGTAGCGCTGAAGCCCCGCCCCCGTCAGTGCTGAAGCCCCGTCCAGTGTCGAAGCCCCTCCCCCTTCAGTGCAAAAGGATCCGCACGAGTTTCTGAAGCCCCGCCCACAAAGGCCCAGCAAGCCCCGCCCACAAAGCCCCAGCAAGCCCCGCCCACAAAGCCCCAGCAAGCCCCGCCCACAAAGCCCCAGCAAGCCCCGCCCACAAAGCCCCAGCAAGCCCCGCCCACAAAGCCCCAGCAAGCCCCGCCCACAAAGGCCCAGCAAGCCCCGCCCACAACTGCACCCAAAGCCCCCCCCCCCAGACACAGCCCAGAGCTTCAATGCTCCGGTCATCATCGTGAGCCATGATCGTTCCACTGCTGGATGGAGGCATCCCATCAAACCACCGCCATCCCTCGCTCCATCTCCCTGGCATGTAGCCTCATTAGGCTGCCACTCCATCGCTCGTCTCGACCCCCAAACCCACCATGCCCGTCCCTTCAAGCGGCGTCTCTTGCCCACCCTCACCTGCTCTTCTTGAACAATTGCCTATTTAACCTGCGTTGTGTCGTGTCCGATCCGCGTGTGATACTTCACCACGCTGGTCAATGCGGGGGTGGTGATGAGGCTCGGGGTGTGACGAGATGTCGACAACCTCACCTGGTATACAGGAAGGACGTAGGTTCGAGCCCCGACCCTGACTCCTGCCGTATATTTGGAGTTTGCGTGTCTCTCTCTCTCATCATCATCACGGTGGCGAGGATATGTTCACTACAGGAGGTCGTGGGTTCAATCCAGACCCTGATGCCTGCTGTATATTCGGAGTTTGCGTGTCTCTCTCTCATCATCATCATCACGGTGGCTAGGAGATATTAACTACCTCGCCTGGTATACAGGAAGGACGTGGGTTCGATCCCCGACCCTGACTCCTGCCGTATATTTGGAGTTTGCATGTCTCTCTCTCTCATCATCATCACGGTGGCGAGGATATGTTCACTACAGGAGGTCGTGGGTTCAATCCAGACCCTGATGCCTGCTGTATATTCGGAGTTTGCGTGTCTCTCTCTCATCATCATCATCACGGTGGCTAGGAGATATTAACTACCTCGCCTGGTATACAGGAAGGACGTGGGTTCGATCCCCGACCCTGACTCCTGCCGTATATTTGGAGTTTGCATGTCTCTCTCTCTCATCATCATCACGGTGGCGAGGATATGTTCACTACAGGAGGTCGTGGGTTCAATCCAGACCCTGATGCCTGCTGTATATTTGGAGTTTGCGTGTCTCTCTCTCATCATCATCACGGTGGCTAGGAGATATTAACTACCTCGCCTGGTATACAGGAGGTCGTGGGTTCGATCCGGACCCTAACGCCTGCTGTATATTTGGAGTTTGCGTGTCTCTCCCCGTGGCCTCGTGGATTTTTCTCCTGGTCCTCCGGTTTTTGCCTCCACATTTAGAATCCACGTGCATTTACAGTATTCGACTGCCATATGTGATAGACAGGTTCGCTGTATAGGTAAATAAATAAATAATAAATCGTGACATTCTTTGGGTCTTTCGGTAAAGTCACGTAGATAAAATAATAAACGTGATATTTTTATTATTATTTTATTCACTCTATTTTCATTTTTATTATTTTATTGTTCTATCTACGTGACTTTACCAAAAGACCCAAATAATTTGAATTCCCGCAGTCACGAAAGCTTGAAATGGTGCGTTTAAGAGTGGTTGAACTATGCCTGCGGCGAAGACAAATCTGACGTCATCTTGATGCATGCGAGAAGAACAAGTTTGTGAGGACCATCGGCAGCTTGTCTTTCTTACGCAACACATCGGCCCCGGGGAGACAATGGTCTCTTTCGTTATGTATATCTTCCATCACGATGCTGAATGGCCATTGTGGAGAATATAAATTATATTACGCGGTGATAATGATAATAGCAGCAGTGCCTCTTGACTAACCAGGACAGCCATACTGAGTCTTAAGACGATAACTGGGACATTCTTTTCGGTTTCTTAACTGACGGAAAATTACATTTATTAGGTATAACCCTGTGAGGCATGCGGCTCTTGACTCGGGTGCAACCGCAACAAACAAAAACATGAACAAGAAACATCTTCACTATGGAACCTCATTTGCCAGTAAAAATATGATAATTGTTTTTTTGCCAGATAGAAGGGTAAAAAACCAATTATCATATTTGTACTGGCAAATGAGGTTCCCATAGTGTAGATGCTTGCCCTGAGCTCTCATACTCTGATGGTGCATTGTCTTTGCGTTGTGCGCCTTTTGGCGTCATCTGTTCCAACCCATGTGAGACTAGGCTCTAAGGAAAGCTGTCTCGGGTGTGGACCAATCAACTTCAAGGACAGTGCACATTATCAGAGTTATGTTATTTTGTTTGTATTATGACTGCTGGTATTGCGGTCTATGCAAACATGACTCCTTGTAAAAAGGTGTCAGTTTTGTTGCCAGATAAAGTGACTGCACGCAATAGAAAAATCCTGGAAAAACAGCAAAGTCTTCCAGAAAAAACACCGTATTTCAACGCTGTGTGAAAACATCCCAGTGGGATGCATGTCAAACAATAACAACCATGAGACATAGTCTTGGTTCTTTCGGTAAAGTAACTTAGAAGGGAAATAATAAAATAATAAATATATAAAACAATAAAAAATCTCACGACGTTTCGACTGCAACACAAGCAATCATCATCAGGTGTGAAATCCATAGCTTGTGTTGCAGTCGAAACGTCGTGAGAATTTGTATTGTTTTTATATGTTTCTTATTAAATTATTTCCCTTCTACGTGACTCTACCGAAAGAACCAAGAATATGAATTTCTGCAGTCACGGAAGCTTTACATCAAAACCATAAGACAATGTAGATTAAAGTTATCAGGCCAACTCTGTACTACAACAAACAAACATGGCTAAACCAAAACGTTTTAAAAATCACCAAAATAAAGCCACAAAAACAATGTAACAGTGATCATAGGAAACGTGATTCAATTTAACAATAAACTATATACATAACATGTACGACCAAACTTTGCAGCCATAGTTGGCTGCATGAGTCATTCCATAACAGCAGGAGTATCAGTAGCAGAATCAACATTTTCCAATACACTTTTAAAGATCAGCACACCATAATCAAAACTCAAAATCATACTTTGCAGCGGTCATCCGGAATGATACATTTGATTTCAGGCCATTCTGAATAGCAGTGGCAGCTAGGGGTGTACAACTCTTCTAGAGCAGTTTTGAGTGAAGATCTCACAGATAGTGATCCAAGTTGCAGTTTATTGGCGATAACATTCCAGACCCTGAGGGCATCAATAGAAAAAGCCCTTCCTCCAGTATTTGTACGTGTACGGCAATAAAAAATGTGAAGCTGGTAAATGAGCGAAGACCTTAGGGTCACACTTGTTCTTCGAAACGCTGTCTCCTGAAACGCTGTCTCCTGAAACCCCTACAAGCCCCTCCCATGGCCTCCCGTTCTCAACTATTTTCGTGTTGATCGAGCTCAATAATTGCGAGCGTAATCGATTACTTAATCACAACTCTACTTTAGAGTGCGATGATTAATACAGGTAGGTGGTTTAGCCAATTTAACTTTAAACGTGATGGTAAAATAACACTCACAGAATAGGCACAGGTGCATGATTAAATCCACTTTCTGGACTGGCAACTACTTAGCCACGCAGCAGCCCAAAGGGTTACGTGAATTCCACGGTATTTTTGTGTTACCCGCCAATCCCCGCCCCAACAACCCCGCATCGCTGCGTGCCACGTTGCATATAGTCAATCAATGTCTCCCAAACTCCACGCCTTCCTCCTCCGCCCCTTGGGTTATTTTTCAGATTTTTTTTTTGTTCAAAGAGAGAACATAACGCTATCACGTGTGAACTCGTGTTGGCTCTATTATTTCGCACCGGAGCAACTGATTTCAATCGTCGCATTCTGGAGGTGACTTTGCTTCCTTGTTGAGACCATTATCAAGGATACAAGTGATTCAGCCATGGGCCCTGGATTATTGGATAAAAAAAATTAGGGGTGCATAAAATATCAGCACAAATTCAAATCCTAAAAAAGCATAACACACTGACGAAAGCCAACGAATATCTCTCATCTCGCGACATCTACCTCTTGACTATTTTCTCTCTCATCGCACTCATTATCTGTCTCAACTGTATCTCTCTTCATATCTGACTGCACCTCCATCGTGTCTGTATCTCTTCTCGTCTTACTCTACTATTCCAAGTTCGTCTACATTTCTTTTATCACACTACCAGCCAGGGAACAAAGACGCTCACTATATCGCAAGCTTTCAGATGCGCTTCTGTGGCCGTCTGGAATGTTCGTTCATATCACAATAATTGTATACATTTAAATGGGGGGACGGGGGTGACTGCAAAATCATGTATGGGTCCCCAAGTCCCCAATGGGCTAGCACCATCAGTCGGCGTTAAGGTGTGTATCGTGTGGTAATAGTAATATTAACTCTTATTTTATATCACGCCATTCATGCAAATTGCATTGCAAAAACATAACATTGCGAACCACATTAACATCAAAATTGGTACGAGACATCCCACAGAGACACAGCACGTGCACGAGCAAGGGAACAGAGTGTGTGCACAACACGAGCCAGAGAGAGACACCACAGAGAGACACAATACGACAAATAGTACAGAGGATGAACACAACACGAGCCAGAGAGAGACACCACAGAGAGACACAACACGACAAACAGTACAGATGGTGACCACAACACGAGCCAGAGAG